CCACTGCTAATACTATCGCTACTAATTTTGCTACTATCCAATTACAATTTGCTTATATCATAACTTACGGTCTGTGCATGCTTCACCTTTCCAGCCTACCAGGCAACCATGTGTCTGACATTTTCCTGTCACTTGATTACATGTGTTATTGTCTGAACAATGACAACCATGCAAACATCCCGATCCAAAATAACCGACTTTACATTCTACAAACAGAAAAAATAGACATATAGAAGTTTTGAAGCGCGAACTAAATTAGTATGTGTTTTCACTTTCTTGGTATAAGGATAAGCAAATCATTTAAATATTTCATAATTTACATTTTCATATACAACAAAAACACATGTCTTCCAACTTAATAAAACAATAATAAACATTACTATTTCAAAACATATTTGTTCCTACATTCCATCTAAAGTGTTAAACCAGTTTGTTAAATTATTTTTCGAAGTAAATTCTTTCAACAATCGCCAGTCTCTGGAAAATTTTACAGCTAATAACTGCTTTGCAAATGAGTAGCAAATGTTCTGGGAACTAAAATGGTTGTTAAATAATTAATCAAGTCTGTGAAACATTTTATTGTGTTAAAAGCACATACACCCTTATATATGAATCGTCTTACATATATATATATATATATACACACACAAACGAAAGAATTCATCATCTGTATAGTCATTTTATTTAAATCCGTTATATGAGTGATACATGTGTACATATCAATATTTGATGACACTTTAGTAGCTTACATGTGCGTATAATCATGTTTGTTCTATAAATATTGTTTAAAGACTAAAGATGCAAATATACTCATTTCACGAGTTACCTTTCTCATATAACTTGAATTCACACAAAATCAAAAACTTCTGTGGCAGCTCTACCAAAAAGTATTGCACAATCAGTGGATCTAAGTCATTTGTAAAGATTCGTGTGTCAGTTATATTAGGAACTTCGTAAACCTTCATTTTATTCGATGACATGTTGGAGGCCATGGATGCATTGCCAGCATATACTACTGCATGTTGCAATTGCTCTGGATAACCTATCACGATTTAACATGATTATTCATTCAATTCAGTGTTCTGTGGCTGTGTGATTAAATCATAATTAATTTTGTGTTGAAATGACCTAACAAATACATTCATATTAGTGTATGAAATATTAACTAAGTAAAGACGAGAATTCAGATTTTGTTTATTCAAAAATGCTTAAGTTATATGTACTTTACTTCCATCGCATGCATATAACTTCATAATACTAAATGGAACTAAGGCAGGTTGGGAAAAGAAATACATATTATGTATAAATTTGTAATACTATACCTTGACATACACACCTTACGTTTGATTAAACCTAGTGAAGGAGGGAATTCTATCATCTTTTTAATGATGTCTTCAAAATGTTTTTTTTTTTCAATTTAACAAAACACATTACTAGATCTATATCTATAAGATTAAGAATAAGTACAACTTAAAACGCCATTTTACCCGATTCTCGTCCAAATATCTGAATAGCACCAATCAAGTATCTTTGTTTAAGATCAATTTGCCACCACGAAGGGGTGGGTCCGTTTGTTACACTGCAACATTTACATGTATCTACTGAATAATTCTCTACCCCGTCTATTGCTTTACTTGAGTTAAAATCAGATGGATTCTGATAAGGAGCATATGTACTTGATTGACTTGTAACGACGTTTGCACTGATACGCTTGATTAGATTTAAATCTGAAATCAACATATAGTAAATAATAAACATAACATTATTTAAATTATAAAGACTATTTAAAATAACCTTATTTTCTTAAATAAATTTATTGAGATTCTAAACTCATTAACATTTGTACTTTGTCACATCTTTACATGCACACACTTTAAATCAAATAAATTGAGTACATTCACTAACTCTTGATAGTTGCAAAAGTGAGATATAATTGTATATAATAAATTACTTCTGCAATACTCTCACTGAGCATGTTTCTTGATAGTAGTTTTATCACGATTCTATTCGGAAGAAATTAGTTCGAATAGAATCATGTCTTTAAGCGTTTTAACGGCCTTTAAATAGATACCTTTGCTACAGTTAAAACCTGACCATCCAAATGCACAACCGTAACTACAATTTCCATCCGTTTTACGACATTCGGCATCATCTTTACAGTTACATATACCAATACAGTTTAAACCAAATGTACCCTTTGGTAGTTAAAAAATGATTAAGTACATATTATTATTATAATTATCTTCAATCAAAGCACTAAAAGCGCTGTTTTTAGAAATATCTGGAAAAAAGTGATCCTTCGGAAGTATTAAAAACAACAAAATAACATGAAAATTGCAGATTCGGTTTATTTGAGTCTGTACGTGAGGAATAATGAAAATGTGCCACATCCCTCATGCCCCCTAGCACCGGCTTGAATGGTACTAAATTCTCAATACTTAAAATTGCTGGACTCAATGCTTCTTAAGGACCAGGAAAATATAACAACACTGAAGTGAAGTACGGGCAACTTTTACGGCTTTCACACAGCACTTGACACCTGCTGTTGTAATTTATAAATACCTGGAAACAAGATCCATCGGAAGCATTAAAAACATGAAAATTGCACACTTGGTTTGATTGAGTCTGCAAGCCCCGAGCAAATTATGCATATACACAGCGTTAAAGTAAATTGGTCCTCATTTGGTACGAGAGGACAAAAGTGTAGGAATATTTAAGTACAGAAGAAGCAGGATTACAAATGTTCTTTTTCAAGTTTTAAAATCGTATGATGTCGATGCATTATATTTAGATATGGTATTTGTAAAGATAAGCTGATTGTTATAAGACATATAAAAGTCGAAAATATATAACCGTAGTTGTTCTGCAATGACAGATAGGCGATATAATGTAATCATCCGAAATGATCGACTAATTATGGATAAATTGCTTGTTAAGCTCGGCTATTTCGTATATGGAAATTGTAGTCACTTAAGTCTTTAAGGATTTTAATGATAAATTCATATTTTAAACTCTTTAAATGATAGTGTAGATTATTAAATTATAAAGATGGGAGTGCTGCGAGGCAATTATTCGGGACACAATTCCGATGCTTTAAGACACTTCACTTACAGATATTTTACATCCAAGACACTTCACCTCAATGCAATATGAATTGAAATATATATTTTAGAAATAAGGGATGAGGACGTGAAATGTATTATAGATGTTGGGTGATTTATTGTCTTGAAGCTGAAGTGTTCTAAAATGTGAGGGTTGTAGGGTCTAGGTGTAAATTGTTTTGTTCCCTTGCCAATTTACCTGGTCCGAAAATTTGCAATCAGACTTCTTATGCATGTATGATCTATGTCTTAGTTGGAACAAAGTTACCTATACGAATTATTTTGTATCATAAGTAAAACTAAACGTATATAAAATACAATCATGTTTAATATATATTAAAGAGTATGATAATTTCTTTTGTTTCATCAATCTAAACCATTTTTACTGCGCAACCATGAATCATATTTTTGAAATTTTGCTCACTTTCGCTTAAAATCGTCAGAAGCTTCAGAATGTATGTAGATACTACAGCGGTTTACGCAAAATAGCAGACTGTAGTGAGACAATATAATTAGAAAGAAAATGGTATTTTTGATTAAAAATTTCACAAAGTACTCAATTTGGAAACAAAGTTTGCAATACTTAAAATCGTTAAACACGATTCCAGTATCGTGCTAACGCCAGTAATTCGAGAATTTTACTATTGCAATTCATTAATTCCTACGTGAATATTGTAAAATCACATTTAGTATAATTATATTTTCATCTCTTGAATTTACTGATAAGCGCATTATCTCTGATTCAATTTCGATGTTACACTGTTTCCTGAACCTCCTTCTTTTAATGCATTTAAATGCATACACTTTTGTTACAACATTATAAGGACAATACGGCCATGAAATGACGCAAAAACGATCATATCCTTAGATCGACTTACACTTTCGCAAGCATTTTCATAGCGACTCAACACAACTAAAATTATAGTCTTGAATTCGGAATGAACAGCAGATACGGGTCTTTCAGCTACGTGAACGTGATTTAGTCGTTACGTTATGTACAACGATTAAAGGTAAAATGAACGCCACGGGCTCTAAAAGGAAGAAGTGATCCATTAAATGTGCCCCGTGCATTGCAAAATTTTGTCTATACATTCAATAAGTTACTTTTCGCAAAAAACCAACAGCAACAACAAACAAACAAAAAACAAACAAACAACAACATATGCTCGATCTTGTCACATTTGCATTTAGTATGATAAGGCTCAATCCATCCGAACTTCTAGCATATTTAATTTAGCATGATAAGACTGCCATATAAGATTTCAATTATAAAACACTTGTCAATATATTAATGAACAAATTTACACCCATTAGAAAAAATGAAAATTTTATTTATAGCACTAATTATATAAAAACAGAAACATATCATTCTTTAGACATTATATTTTACACTGATATTGAAAAGAAAACTATCAGAGACGACCAGTTATTATTCAGGATTAGCTCAGCCTTTGACAGACTTTGACGTTGTTTTCTTTTCATCACCAACTTGACTCTCTAGTTATAAGGTTTCCCGATATACACTTTTTTCTTTATAGTACAAATGATAACAACCAAGTTTGGTGATCATCCATCCATTAATTTGTGATAAAATTTGCCTACGACTGTTTTTCAAAATTGCGATCTTTCTTTTTTTACTTACCTTAAAAATTAGATAATTACATAATCTCAGTATTTAAATCATGTATACTGTTTCTCAGGATGACACCACCGGTCAATATTTAAAGATATCATAGGTATACAAGTCAACTCGACCAGAAAGTTAACATTTCAGGTTAATTATCTTACTCTCTAATAGAAATGGGAAAAATTGTAACTTTAACTTCATAGAGAAAAATGGCAAAAGGTTGTTTTGATGAAATGTATTCAGTGAATATGAAAACAACTTGCATACATTGTATGAAACAGTGCAAAATTACTTTCAACAAGTGATAACAAAATTTGCAAAATGTCATTCTGAATAGAAATAATTAAAACTGATATTTAAAAAAATACAAATTACAAATTATATAAAGACAAGCAAGAAATACTTCTAAAGTTGACATGAGTTCACTTAAACTAAAGTTTTGATCCTTAATGTAAAATGCTAAGTTACAAAAGATTACCGGTATAAAGTAAGATAAGACGAAAACTATTTTTAGCCATATCTACATTTATGAAAATAAATTCAAATTTATTAACATTTAACTTATTAGTTTGAGTGTTTCTCTATTGAAAACTTAATTGAATATTACCTAATGAAAAGAAAGAAGAAGAAGAATTGAGATCAGGGAAAGTGGTTATGCAGCTGGAGAAGACCAGTTCAGACTAATAAGACAATTACAGTTCAATCGATCAGGCTATTCTTTATATTATTATTATATTCCCATATAATACAACAGAATCTCTAAATGAGTCTCAGTGAAAAACAATCACCTATCTGTTACACAGTGACAATATCCCATGCACATGAAACATCAGGTTCAACAGTGTGTCCCAATATTTACTGAAATGTGCTTTCTCCAAGTAAGTAAGGTACAGAAACAAATGTAATATTTCTTAAGGCCTTATTTCATTTCCCAGGGAAAATTCTCTAGATTGACCTACAAATGAACCTGCAGAAAGAAAGACGCAATGCCCACAAACAGAAAGATACAAAGCACATGACCTCAAATCATTTCTTCAAGATCTCTGAAAAGCAAACAGGTCATGACATTAAGACATTCAATCTATTTTATGCATAACATGTATATACATGTGAACTTTGACAGGGTAGAAGAAGACGTTTAAATGTATTTCAATTTTTAGCGGCCCCTTAAAGAGGCCAATCAGATTAATATGAGCAAACTTGATAAAATACTACCCAGAAATGCTACAGACAAAGTTTGGTGATCATCCACCAATTAGTTTTGTAGTAGAAGACATCTAAAGGTTTTTCAATTTTAAGCCCTAGAGACCTCTCAAAAGGGCCAATCAAATACATATGAGCAAACGTGATAAAAGACTACCCAAGAATGCTACAGACAAAGTTTGGTGATCACCAATCAATTAATTCTGTAGAAGAAGATGTTTAAAGGTTTTTCTATTTTTAGCTCTAGAGACCCCTCAAAAGGGCCAATGCAATTAAATTGAGCAAACTTGATAGAAGATTTCCCAAGAATGCTAGAGACAAAGTTTGGTGATCATCCATCAATTAGTTCTGTAGAAGAAGATGTCTAAATGTTTTTCTATTTTTAGCCCTAAAGACCCCTAAAAAGGGCCAATCAAATTAATATGAGCAAACGTGATAAAAGACTACATAAGAATGCTACAGAAAAAGTTTGGTGATTATCCATCAATTAGTTCTATAGAAGATGTCTAAATGTTTTTCTGTTAGCCCTAGAGACCCCTAAAATGGGCCAATCAAATACATATGAGCAAACGAGATAAAAGACAACCCAAGAATGCTACAGACAAAGTTTGTTGATCATCCATTAATTAGTTCTATAGAAGAAGATGTTTAAAGGTTTTTCTATTTTTAGCTCTAGAGACCCCTTAAAGGGGCAATCAAATTAATATGAGCAAACTTGGTAAAAGAATACCCAAGAATGTTACAGACAAAGTTTGGTGACCATCAATCAATTAGTTCTGTAGAAGATGTTTAAAGGTTTTTCTATTATTAGCCCTAGAGACCCCTAAAAGGGGTCAATCAAATTAATATGAGCAAACTTGATAGAAAACTTCCCATGAATGCTACAGACAAAGTTTGGTGATTATCCATCAATTAGTTCTATAGAAGATGTCTAAAGGTTTTTCTGTTTTTAGCCCTAGAGACCCATAAAAGGGGCCGATCAAATTAATAAGAGCAAACTTGATAAAAGACTACCCAAGAATGCTACACACAAAGTTTGATCATCCATCTTTTAGTTCTGTAGTAGAAGATGTTTAAAGGTTTTTCTAATTTTAGCTCTGTTGACCCCTAAAATGGGCCAATTGAAATGACATGAGCAAATTTAAGTGTGACTGTCAGAAGGATGCTATAGACCAAATTTTAAGTAAATCTGAAAATTGTATTACTAGTAGAGTATAGTATTACCATATCAATAATTAGATAAAAAACAAATTGAAATTCCTTAAAAATAAAGAATGTTATTTAGACATTAAAAATAAACAAAAAATGAGGAAATATTTTAACCAATTAATGAGGACTCACCGTCTTCACATGCTTTTCCTGTCCAGCCTGGCTGGCACCCAGGTGTCTGACATTTCCCTGTTACTTGATCACATCCATTTTGGTCTGAACAATGGCAACTATGCAAACATCCCGATCCAAAATGACCTATATCACATTCTTAATAATAAAAACAGTCACATAAATTTAACAGTCATTGAATAATGACTTTTTATAGAGTGAGTTGAATACTATTCATGAGGATAGTTTAAAACCCATGTAAATATAAGGGCCGTAATCTTATTAATATAGTTATTTTGACCTTTAAGTTATTGCCTAGACACATTAAAGTTTGAAGACCAATTTCAAGTACAATGAACCTTTAAAAAGTGATGCAGACATTAATCTTATCATGGTAAGATGTTTAATTCTTGTAGTTACAAATTCGACATCGTAAAACAAACTTTCATTAGAAATTGATGCAAATAGTAATTACGTTCTTGAATTCAAAGACTTAAGTATGGTAGCGTTTTGTGAAATATTTTTTTTTCTTATCAAATTGTTCTATCACATTGAAAAGATTACATAATTAAAATATCAAGCGATACCGTTCCCAAATAGCTTGAACTCGCACAAAGTCAACACGTTTTGGATCAATTCTACCCTGAAGTACTGTGCGATTATTGCGTCTAATTTCTTTGTAAAATTCCGTGTACTAGTCATCGATGGAACTTTGTAAACTAAAGTCATGTTTGTTTCTATTGATACGTTTCCAGCATAAATTGTTGCATTTTCTAATTGAAAGTTATAATCTGCCACAGAAAATAAATCGATTGTTAACGCTAAAAGCAAAATATAATTATGTGTTTCTGCTGTGTTATATACTTTTATATCCAAGAAGTTAAACATTCCTATTTTCTCAAGAGGAACTATTAGCAATATCAAGTTTTGATTTCCAATTATTTTTTGTAAAGACCTGAGACTTAATATGACTGATTTGTTTTTGTTTCGTGTTCTGATGAGGTTGATACTATATTAATTTTATTATTCTAATATACGCTACTATGAAAAATAATAGAAAGTGTCATATTCTAAATTAGGTTTTGAAAATAGTTGTCACGAATTTAATCTGTTATTTATGGACTGTAAAGATCTGAATACAAAAATGTCTATAGTTAGCCAAAATATATTATCTTACTTGCTGCACGTCCAAATATCTGCAAAGAACCTATTAAGTATTTCTGTCCAAGATCAATTTGCCACCACGAAGGAATGGTTCCGTCGGTTACACTGCAACATTTACATGTATCTACTGAATAATTCTGCACCCCGTCTATTGCTTTACTAGAGTCAAAATCTTGCGGATTATTGGATAGAGAAAATATACTGGACTGGCTTGTTGTAACGTTTGCTCTGGTACGTTCGATAAGATTGAAATCTGGAACGATAAGATTGATCCTAATTTGTCTGACTGTTAAAGAATATCGTCAAAATAAAATCATATTTTAATATCTTGTGCAGTTTTATCAAGTAACTTGCTTTCCTCTATTTAACTTAGTGTTCATGAAAACAGTTTCCTAACAAGACACATTTCCTTTTAATTTATAAATGCTTAAAAGGAAATACATATCTTGCTTTAACCAGCAAATTATTGTCATTTTCTGTTGTTGCTTTTTTGTTGTTGTTTTTTTTACATTATTAGCTTGATTTTTTTTCACCTTTATCACAAACAAATATAAAATTCAAGGAAATACTGGTGAAACAATTTATAAAGTCTACAGACAAAGCATGAAGTTGCTTGTGTGATAAACTCCCCATTGTTATAGATTTAGCATATAGATGTTACGATATTTATTATCATTATTCGTATCTACGCGATTTTTACTTACATTCAACTGTCCTGTATTTGGTTCTGTAAGATTAGTCTTGCATATATACCAATGACAACGTGACAAAGGTCCTTAAAGTAGTGTTTTTTCTTAACATAGAAATAGTATTATCTAATAAAAGCAAGCTAAGTACAAACATTTTTATTGTTGGAGTCTGTTTATTATAGGTATGAGATCATGTTAAGTGTCACCAATGCGCTTTAAATTATACATTTTTAAAATGAGATCGATCAACATCCTTTCTTATTTAATCGAATGATAAAATACAGTCTTTCACTTTTAGAGTTAGGGTGTCGTAACTTAGCGCAAGAAACACACTGGCAGTAACAAGTAACAAAAGTTATCAAAAAAACCCTAGGTAGCACATCTTCAGAATTTTTAGAAGAACTGTAGGACATTTGAAAAATCGGACATGAATTTGTTAGCCAGGGCTTTATGTCTGCAACGTTCCATCACAATTAGGTAATTAAGTACAGATCAATATGTACGAATGAGCAAATAAATTGGAAATGTTTCTCAAAACTACCAGATTTTAAACAAGAGTTGATTACAAATTGGCTATAGAAGTGTTTTTTCTGTATAATACAATACACTTTGTAAGGCAAGCTAAAAGTTTTTTTTTTCTGACACATAATACAATATCATATGTAAGGCAAGCTTATTTGTCAAAGTTTAATTTAACAATTCAAACTCTCTTTTCTAAGATGAAAGTCATAATTTTTGATGAGTGTTTCTTCGGTATATACAAAAGTTTTCCTACGAAATCCGTAACGTTTCCAAGGAACTCCGTGACAGTTATCAGGAACTCCTGACCAGATTTGATAAGAACTCAATCCTCCGTGTAACAGTTTCTCCACGTGATAAAACTGTTTGTAGCGAATATTGATCAATATATATTAAATTTTGTTTGTCTTTAAAATTAGGAAAAATACGTAATATATAACAAAAAAGCAGCCACATTTTACCTGCAAAGCACCTCATATTAGTAGCTTGTAACATGATCAGCACAATAAAGGAAGGTGTCGTCATTGTGCCTTAATTGATGATCTGTAAAATTTTCATAAGATTATTTTATCATTAAGTTACGAACCATATACTCATAAAAATATTTGTATAAAAATTTTGTGATCTTCCATTGTTGAAATGTTGGATATTTTATACAGATACATAATTTTTACAGACTGGCTGTATAACAAATCTTGAACTCATTTAATAAACGTGTATATGATACTGACAACTCATATGAAACTCTTTTTATTATATGACTGAACGCCATGAAATAAACGAAAAACGAATGTTTTATGTATTACACGCGCTATTGTTCTACAGTCTTTCATATCACGTGTGATATACGAGGTTATTATACGTTTCAGAGTACATCGGATTTGAGGTACAGTTATTTCGTGTACAATATTAATTTGAAATGGATTTTCAGTACTCTCAAGGTGAAAAAAGGTTGGATGGCGCACAAATAAGATTTGAAGTAGACACTTTGGACTCCGAAAGCTAAAAAAAACCCCAAAAACTTGATATGGCTTGTTTAAAGCTGAACGAGACTTTTATCACATTGGATCCAATAATGATTTGAACTGAACAATATGTTGCAAACGCTAGCATTTTAATGGTTACACATTATAATGTATGTAATATGAAGACATGTGGAACGGTTATATTACATATAATATGCCATGTGTTCAAAAACAAACTTAAAAAATTATTTCTCTAATCATCTATTACCAATGATGTAATTAAAACTATGAAACAAATGTTTTTATGCCAATTATTTTACAATCACTTTATCATATATTGTTTTTCGGTGTACAAAACACTGTATTTGTTGAAAAAAAAGTTAGGCATAATTCAAATGTTATTATACAATTGACGAAACATGAAATATTTGTACTCAAAAATTTAGATATAAAAATAAATAAATACTTCTCCTGTTTATCCGATTCTTTTCTTAACTTAAGATTGATTTTTAAAACAGGAAGTCAAAGGATTTCAGTTTATATCACACAGATTGTAGGCTTTTATCAAACTTGTTCCACATAATTTTCTTCTTTACTTAATCAATATCAAACAGCTACTATCTCTATAAAATGACTAAATTTTACATGGTTTTTTTATATAAACACTTCAGCTTATCAATGAACTAACAAATCTTCCTGGTGTAAATGTAAATATGCATTTAAGTATAACCCGCTTATACCTGAATGCATTTCGATCTATTGAGGATCAAACTCCGCATTTTCGTTAGATGCTGTTGAAAGGAAACTATTAAACTGCATTAACCAGTATAGTACAGATGCATTTAGTTCAGAATACTTGAACATTTGTGTCATGATATTGGACAAAAAGGCAATTTTTATTCTAATATTCTATGTTTACAATGAACCACACTTTCCAGACTCTCAAGCGCATTTGGAAATAAAACTGATGAATTAGAATTAGAATTACAAGATAAGACCATGTGATATTAACTCTAACTTCTACATTATGCCCTAGCCGTTACCGCACTACTAAGACGAATATAACAAGATAGGAACAAGGACAGACACAATGTCCAAAAATATGAATATCAAAGAAAATCCTACTAACCATAAGTCTGTGAGCTTACTTGTTATAACCTGCAGCAAATAAGACGATGCATCTGATGTACATACGTATATACAGTCAAACTTCGTTCGCTTTAACTCGGAGGGCCTGTGTAAATTTGTTCGAGAGATTGATTGTTCGAGCCAACCGAGTATATACATGTATGATATAGATGTGTTGTGTGAAAAACTCAAATAAATTCAGGATAGAAAAAACAGTTTTTTTTCCATCTTAACCTTTTCATATTTGATCATGACTTTTAACTTAAATGGATTGATATTGCTTAATTACATCGACCTATGACCGTTTATGTTGTGCCTTACATAACAAACGAAGGAAATAATGAGCTAAAATAAACCTACATGTATTTGGCGATGATTTAGTTATAATGAAGAAATAACGCGGTCATTAATCAAACACGATTAATACATTCAATTTTGATTTGTCATGGCAATTTTGCAACGTATTTCAAACTCGTCAAGAAATAGAAAGGTTATGTACCGTACACGAAATGTTGAATGTTATATAATCCTTGACACTTTAAACAATGTTCTCACATGCCTGTACACACAGGCACTCTAACTACACACATGCGCACGTACTACATACAGGCACACGTACTACACAAAAGCACACGTACTACACATAGGTACACGTACAACACACAGGTACACGTACTACACAAATGTACACCTACTACTCACAGGTACGCGTACTACATACAGGTACACGTACTACACACAGGTACACTTACTACACACAGGTACACGTACTTCACACAGGTACACGTACTTCACACAAGTACACGTACTACACACAGGTACACGTACTACACACAGGGACGCGTACTACACAAATGTACACCTACTACTCACAGGTACGCGTACTACGTACAGGTACACGTACTACATACAGGTACACTTATTACACACAGGTACACGCACTACACACAGGTACACGTACTCCACACAGATACACGAACTACATCCAGGTACACGTAACTACACAAATGTACACCTACTACTCACAGGTACGCGTATTACATACAGGGACACGTGCTACACACAGATACACGTAATACACACAGGTACACGTACTACACACAGGTACACGTACTACACAAATGTACATCTACTACTCACAGGTACGCGTATTACATACAGGGACACGTGCTACACACAGGTACACGTAATACACACAGGGACACGTACTAAACACTGATACACGTACTACACACAGGTACACGTACTACACACAGGTACACTTACTTCACACAAGTACACGTACTACACACAGGTACACGTACTACACACAGGTACACTTACTTCACACAAGTACACGTACTACACACAGGGACACGTACTACACACTGATACACGTACTACACACAGGTACACGTACTACACACAGGTACACTTACTTCACACAGGTACACGTACTACACACAGGTACACGTACTGCACACAGGTACACGTACTGCACACAGGTACACGTTCTACACACAGGTACATGTACTACACACAAGTACACGTACTACACACATGTACACGTACTTCACACACATGTACACGTACTACACACAGGTACACGTACTTCACACAAGTACACGTACTATACACAGGTAAACGTACTGCACACAAATACACGTACTACACACAGGTACACTTATGTCACATATGTACACGTACTACACACAGGTACACGTACTTCACACAAGTACACGTACTAAACACAGGTAAACGTACTACACACAGGGACACGTACTACACACAGATACACGTACTACACACAGGGACACGTACTACACACAAGGACATGTACTGCACACAGGTACAAGTACTACACACAGGTACATGTACTTCACACGTGTACACGTACTACACAGAGGTACACGTACTACACACAGGTACACGTACTACACACATGTACAATACTACACACAGGTACACGTACTGCACACAGATACACGTACTACACACAGGTACACTTATGTCACACAGGTACACGTACTACACACATGTACACGTACTACACACAGGTACACGTAAAACACACATGTACACGTGCTACACACCGGTACACATACTACAGACAGGCACACGTATTACACACAGGTACACTTACTTCACACAGGTTCACGTACTACACACAGGTACACTTATCATATTCACATGTATACTATAATTTTAAAGGTTCTATTGACTTAGTTACTTATTAGTCGACCCGAATTTAAATACATGTATATTCAATACAAAGCGACTTGATCAGCTATGCAATGATATGAATGTTTAAAGTATAGGATGTACTGATAATACATTTTAAATTTAAAACAGTAAATAGTATGCAACCTTCATTTTTGTAAATTAAATATCCAATAATTCACTTTAGTTGATAGTGATTTAGACTTTATCTATACAGTATGTGTTGACAACAGTATGAGACCTTGCAATAACAGATTTACTGAACTAAGACTTGAAATTATGATCATAATTTGATCGCTGTTTTGATCAAAGTTAAAAAGGCACGTTTATATTTCTACACATTTTGCTGTTAAACGGCATATATGGGATAACGAATAGATCTATGCAAGTCTTCAAATTCAAAATTTCAATATAACTTATGCTCCTGTTGGTAAGCAAGACGACGCAAATAATTCTAAGTATAAGCTTTGACATTGCTACAATGTATTTACAGCATAAAATATTACATTGCTTTTGTTTGGAATTTTGAGTACGTTCTCGTAGAGTAATGCACTGCTGTGCAATTTATATATCATGAACTTCCGGTAGACGTGAATATCATATTACAAATGACGAATAATGTATCATTGTAATCAATATTATATGGTGGCTGACTTGTTACACTTTTGTGAGTTGCGTTGTCACTAGCGACAACACAACATATATTGTTATCGCATTTTCGCCTTGTCGTATTATCGCTACCTAACGCGCAAAACTGCGAAGAGTTGGCTTCTTATCGTGCTGTTACATAGCTCGCTGTCGCGAGCATCATAGCACCAATTAGCCAATTCTTCCATTTTAAAAAAAGTCAAGCGACGATGTGTCATCGCGCCACACGCGGCGAGAAAACGCGCCATTTGGCGTGTTTTGCTAAGGAAAGGACGACAAATTGATAAGGCGATAATGCGCCGTTTGGCACTTTGTGTATCAAATCAGCCACCATAATGTTACATGAACATATCAGAAATTCCATTCTTTTAATATTAATGTATATGATGATATTTTAATGACTTCACTTGGTATGTCGACGTCACATCTGAAGTCACATTTGTTTGCTAATGACGTAATTGTCATGATATAAAGCAGCATTTGCACAGTAGCTTTAGTAAGGAAATAGCATAAAATGTGCTAGAATGTAGCAATTGTCATAAATTTAGCACAAAAAATGAAAAACGAACATCTGTATTCAACATTAACATAAACTTGTAAAATTTTGAATAAAGAAACATCAGCAGATGTGTTCATACGACGGTTATCATGGAATGGGGCGTATGATCCCCAATTAAAACAATGATTGTGCCCTAAACAGGAAAACAATTGGCGGAAGTGTAAACAAACATTACAAAATCAAATTATGTTTATATGAAATATACTGTCAAATCTAAATGTTTATTTCCGAAATACATTACGCATAAGATTATCTCTAAAGATACATAAATTTTTTAATCGTTTTGACAATGCCGGGAAAATATATTTACACAATTAAAAGACCTTGATAACGCGAAACATTCTCTGACAATTTCACCGAGGGGTTAAATATATTTATATATGACAACGAATAATAAAGACAAAGACCTATGCGTATGCATTAGAGAATGAATTGATTATGGATAATGTATTATATATAAATGATATGAATTTCACATCATATGCACTGATGACAAACATTGCAATCATTTTGGGACGCGGAGATGCCTCGACATTCAGTCTGTGGTACTTAAAATATTAGGTGAACAATCCCTTCAGATAAGATACAGGTACCAATTGTATTATCATTTATAAAGCCAATGCTCAGAATTTACAACATTTTAGCCCACTAATGTAGATCTTTTGGTACTAAATTCAAAAGTTTAGATTGTGATTTTTCTCATCCCTTTTAATTCATTCTAGTTAAAACGGCGTGGTTAGGTAAATGTTACACTGTTTATTGACACAAACGTTGTGAAATTTCAGACTCAAATTCTATTTAGAGATTTTTAGCGTTATTGAAAATAAATTAAAGCCGTTTTACATGATTATAAAAAACATGCATAATTACAGAAAATTCTGCAAGAACAATTTTTTTATTTGCTCTGAGGTCTGTGGCCCATGCAAAAATATACATACACAATTTGTTGTATAGACTTATATAACATTAGTTAACCTATAGCTCTTGAGCGCTTCTTATGTAAAATTCTTCGAAGTATAATTTCCAATAACCGTAAATTATACCATACCCAGACTATGGTATAATTTTCAGTTTTGAAGATCGAGGGAGTAAGTGTTTCTGGGCGGAGCTATAGGTTAAAACAGATACACCATTGGTGCGTTGACGATTTCTGGGTTTGCGTAAATTATACCATAATCACGTGACCTTTTTTATGCCTTAACCTCACGAGACGAAGTCTCGTGAGGTTAAGGCATAAGAAAGGTCACGTGCAAATTATACCATAATCACGTGACCTTTGTTAAGGCATAAGAACGTGACCTTTGTTAAGGCATAAGAAAGGTCACGTGATTATGGTATAATTTACGCAAACCCAGAAATCGTCAACGCAGCAATGGTATATCTATTACAAAAAGGTCACGTGATTATGGTATAATTTACGCAAACCCAGAAATCGTCAACGCAGCAATGGTATATCTATTACATATGCTAAATGTTACACATACACATATTTGTTTAACCTCTAAACATCATATACCGGCATTGTAAAAACTTTAAAACTGTATCAACAATCATTTTAGCAAACTTTATAATTTTTTCTAATACATTGCATAATAACATAGCAACTGATTTTATGTTTCCTGTATAAATTGTTGACATGATAATATTAAACTTATCAATAGATGGTACAGTTAAATCAATTTGTATCATAGTTTGGGGACCTTCTGTTGAAAATGTGTCCGAGTTAAATCGTATGCATATACATGCACCGTGCGTTAACTGGAGTGCAGGTATAAGTTACCCGCACTCTAGAGCATGCCAATTGATTGGCTCATTTTTGCTGGGGTTTACTTATTGTGACGGCAGAGAAAATGAAAGCGACAGAAATATCATATTTAGATGCTCGTTCATTGGTTACTTTTCTCCGGGGTTGTGACAACAGGGAACGTGTTTTCATGTTTGACTATGATACAAAAGAGAAAGCACATCAAAACACTCGACAATATGATTAATACTCGGGGGCTACGCCCCCTCGTATAAATCAGATAGCCTCGTGTTTCGATGCTCTTTCTATTACATATTAATTGTAATTTTTGAACATTTTTGCATAATATATTATTACCCCTAACTATTTTTGTAATGTTAATTTCAAAGGGGAGTTATTCTTATTGTTAATTCAACAGTACTATGTGACTAAAAATGTCGGACTGTTACATAGGTACAGAACTTCTTTCAATATTGAAACCGTGTCTAAACGAAATATCTATTCAGGGCTACAAAATTAATAACGCATAGGTTTGTGAGCAATAGCAACAACTACAATCGCTCAAATAATTACTGGTACCCTCAGTTAACACCTCGGGAAACAGTATTTCCCGCGGGATGACATCCCTACTGCAACTCACAAATCAATGCATTAATCTAGTAACTATTAAAATGAAACCATTGCTACTTAATCACAAAACTACGGAAGCGTCCTGGTGCCAATTCATAATGTTCTATAAAAAAATAAACTCCTACGTAGGAAATAAAAAAGCCTAATTAGGAGGTTGTAACTCCTACGTAGGAGATAAAAAAGCATAATTAGGACTTTATAACTCCTACGTAGGACTTTGTAACTCCTACGTAGGACTTTTAAACTCCTACGTAAGACTTTATAACTCCTACGTAGAATACATACCAAAGAACTGAAAGCACAGAGTTCGACGGACATGTATGCTAGAGTATAACTTAAGATAGCATATTATGTAGGAAAAT